GGGATCCGAACCCTCGGACGGGAGCACCGCCGCGCTTCCCAAGCGGCGCACTATCCAGTGCGCCACCGGGCCGGCCCATAAGTGCATTTTTAGATGATCATTTTCAAGCGTATTTCCATGTTTAATAACATTTATAATTTTTTTGACATGCCAATCAGGTTATATTTAGAAAAAATGATGTCATGGATGTTAAAAATTAATCTTTGTAATCTCTTCTTCAGGATTTCCAGAGTACCCAATCGTCTTCTCAGGAACTGACACAGATAAACAGAGAAAATGTAAATATTAAATCTTTTAATGAACCACCAGTTTTTGAATGTTCTTTGCGTTGCAGTGTAAATCAGGAAGGCTGGGTTTTTTAAAAATATGTTTTTAAATATGAGGCTAGGATGCAAGTAGTCATTTGAAAAGTGGGGCGTGTACTTCTTTTGGTGCCAGGCACTCTCAGTGTTAGCTGGGGCTCGACCTGCCAGCTTATATGACTGCCACCTACCGTTGGTATGTAAAACCCTTACCTGTGAATAGTACTGCTATGGTGTTATAAGTCATCAGGGCATTGGCCAGTGAGCTTCCATGTGTATCTTCTCCCCTTGTAGGAACAAGTGCCATTTAAAAACTGCATCTTAGGGCTGGCCACTTAGCTCAGCTGGTTAGAGCACAGCCTTATAACCCCAAGGTCACGGGTTCGGATCCCCATACTGGCCAGCCACAAAAAAATAAAATAAAAATTTCATCTTTACTGTTATTAATGGAGAAAGTGGTTTCAGCATTTATACCTCACAAATAATCTCAGCATTTTTGGGGTACCCTGGAAAGGACAAGTAGGAGATGTTTGAAGCTCATGTGTAGTCTTATGAAAAATTAACTCATTCATGGTGGAGGATGAAGGATTCAGACGAAGACAGATGTCAGACTCTGTTCCCAGCCTCGGTAGCCCTTGGCAGCTCCATACCGCCCCGTCCGCAGCACTGGCTGCCTGTATGTCACACCCAGGGTGGAGCAGACACCAAGGTCCCAGGCACTGGCCAGGCTCAGCTCAGTACAGCCAACAAAGTCAGATGCTCAGATTAGAAAATGTAATACTTCCCTTCTAATGTTCTCATTGTTTCTTTCCTTTCCAATAGGGACAGAAGTCTGGCGTGACATCGTTTGTAAGTATTTTTGCCTGGTTATTACGTGTGGAACATTTTATAAAATTGCCTAGAAAACAAGTAGTTTGAACCTTGGAAGGCAGCTTTATTTGTTCCATACCTCACTGCAGAACTGTTTCCCTACAGAGTAGGAATAGAGAAGATGTTTCTAAAATCGTACCCAGAACTGTCTACACCAAGAGCAAAGATCCGCCTGTCAATGACTCTTTGACTCGCACCAAAACACTACCTACCAACTGTCTGTCAAAGGTTTGAAGAGCCAGAAATGTTCTTAACTCTGTAGAACAGTTAAGTTATAGCTAGCTGTCATGTGTAACTTCTCCCGCAGTAGAAGCCCGAAGCGGCCACCCTGCGTCTGTGTGCTGTCCCTCGGCAGCTACGAGGTCGGCCAGGCTTTGGTCTCTGAGCCGTCGCGTGCATTTCCTCAGCCCCCCAGTTTGGCTGCCTCCCCTGCAGGCAGAACACAGGGCACTGCCTCGGACCCCACACACAGGTGGCTTTCCCACACTGAGTTTCACTCACACAGGGGGAGCAGGTCCCACTCCATGCCCATTTTGTCATCTAAAACATAGTCATTGACTCCTTGCTGTGAGACACGCACAGTACGGCTGCAGGGGACCCAGCTGGGACCAAGGCAGACTTGGTCTGTCCCCTCATGGGTTTTATAGGGCCATGGCCCTTTAATGTTCTCTGGTGTTCTTTGGACACTTTTCCTGTGGGATCCCTTCCTGCAGGCTCCTAGTGCTGACTGTGGCTTCTTTTCAGACCCTGCCGTTTGCAGCAAGGTTGAACACCCCCATGGGCCCTGGACGAACTGTTGTCATTAAAGGAGAAGTGAATACAAATGCCAAAGGGTCAGTATCATGTAGGTACCAGTGACAGTGCAAGAACCTTCCACGTGTGCCTTATACCCTGTAGCAGTCTGAGATAAAGCTGGGCTAGCGTCATAGCCTCATTTGAAAGGCGAGAACGTGAAAAACAAGAAGAGAGTAGACCCTGACAACCAGCTGGTGGCAGAGTCAGCATGAAAAGTCAGTGTTCTGCCCAGGCTTTTTTTGGCCAGACGAGAGGGTAGCAGTTTGACATGAGGCCCACCCTTGCTGGGCAGAACTCCAGGGCAGCCCCATAACATCAGGTGGCTCTTTTTAGGGCCCCTCTTGTCATGTGGCTTATAAAATATCTGCTTTAAGAACCTTTTCCAGAGATGTCCAGACTTCTGCAAGCTTGAAGTTAGAGCTGTTTCCTAGAATGTAGCACACTTGTAAGAAGGAAAAGTACACATGTAAATGATGAAAAGAGAATATCTGCTCGAAAGGGTCCTGGACGCCTGCAGCCTCAAGGAATTGTGCAGTTTACTAGTGCTAAGCCTTCCATTTCTGCCCAGCCAGATCTCAGCCTCAACACTGATTTAAGGGTTTTTTGTATTTCTATGTTGCAAATAACTCCTCAATGGAACGCTAACTCAGTTTGAAATTCCACCTTCGTCTGCATTCCCGTGTCCACGTGCATGCGTGTTTCATGTAGTTATAGTCATAGTTCAAGTCTGGTTAATAAAATTGCGGGAACTGCCACTACTCTCTCCTACTTGGTGAATTAAGGCGTTCTCTCTCTCTCTCAAAAGCTTCAATGTTGACCTGTTAGTAGGAAGATCAAAGGATATTGCTCTGCACTTGAACCCACGCCTGAACATTAAAGCATTTGTAAGAAATTCTTTTCTTCAGGAGTCTTGGGGAGAAGAAGAGAGAAGTATAACCTGTTTCCCATTTAGTCCTGGGATGTACTTTGAGGTGAGATTACATTTTTTGCAAACTGGACAGAAAAAAGAATCCTGGGAGCGGGGTAGGATATGCAGTTCATTGAAATCAAGTCCTAACTCAAGTGACTATGTGGAGATTGTGGTTTTTTGGTTTACTTGGGGGTTGTAATTTGAATGTCCCCTTGATAGCAATGGCATAAATGGCAAAGCCAGTAGAGTACCACATTATTTGTACTGGAATTATTTGACATTTGTCATCATATTTGAAAACTGCTGTAGCCCCATACTGATGTCTCAGGACTGGAGTAACAGGCTTACGCCTAAGTGGACATGAGGACGTAGGAGCCGTAAACCTGCTTGCCTGCGCTGTCCACCGTCTGCCGTGTTGGTGTACTCAGTGTCAGGTGGCAGTCCTTTCTTCCAAGGAGTTAGTCCTGTTTGTATGTTTTCAAAGAGGAATACAGTAGACCCTTGGAACTAAAAGGCATGTAGTCTTGAGTCCTCAAATATGCAAATATTATGATAACACATACTTCCCCACAATATGTTTCGGGGATGCTGAGCAGAGAATGACATCTCCTTGAGACGTGGATGCCGGTGCTTGGCCAGGTTCACTCACCAGCTTAGGTGACTCACTGCCTCACAGTCACTTAGGGCTATTGATTTAGGTCATGCTTCTAAAACATTTTAAACTTATATGCTCTGGGCTATTTGAGTTCTCAAAAACTCATCAAAAGTAGCTGTTAAAAGCATGAACATTGAGGCAGGACAGAAGATGGAAATTTGACGTTAATATTGCTGAGTTCCAGTCTAATGCAGTGGTGCCGTTATGTGGAGTACAGACAGATGTGGGATAACCGTGGAAGGTCCCTGGAAGTTGTCGACATTGATTTGGAATTCAGAGCCTGATTGGAACAAGTCAGTGGAGGTGGGAGGGGCAGCACAGGGTTGTTGACTTGGCAAGAGTAGGGGTGATGGGTGACTTGGGGGGTCACTAGAGGGAAACAGAGGCGAGGCTTCATAAGGAAGTTGATCCTTGTGGTTAGCGACAGGAAACCAGAGATATAACTTGTTTTTTGACCTATCTGGGCCCCAAGTTTGGATCTACTGTATTAAAATAAAAAAGGACAAAAATAATAATTTCAGATAATGCTGTAAATACTAAGATGAAAATCAAAATATTTATTCCCAGCTTCATAATTCAGATACCATTAGGATCAAGTGAACCACATTCCAAATGTTTTTTGGTGGATAGAGTTAAGAGGATGGCTGGCTGGAGGGCTGCATAAGTGGATGGGTGGATCTTGCCTGCTTTGAAATAATCATCTTCTCCATTTGTTAGTTTTCCACTCCAGAAACAGTAATTATCTTCATGTTGGTCATGGCTGTCAATTTCCCATAGTAATGAGACTCTCCAGTTGCTTCAGACTCTTGCTTTTTAATACGCTTTCATTGAGACTACCTCAGATCTTCCATTGTGCCATTACTTTCATTTTAAACAGTATCTGCTTGCTGTTTCAAAATAGCTTATTACTTCCATGTACAGTTTGTTTTTAAAAGCATTTACTAGTACATATTTGTGGGGTAGTGTGCTGTTTCAATGTGGGCATATCCTGCACAGTGACTCACAGCAGACAGCGTGGTCTGGGACCTGTCAGTCCATCTCTTCTCCCTCCCCTGCCTCTCCCGGCCTCTGCTAACCATTAGTCTACTCTCTACTTCGATGAGAACCACTTTTCTTTTTTTTTTTTTTAGATTCCATTTGTGAGATCATGCTGTATTTGTCTGTCTGTGCCCAACTTACTTCACTTAACATGATTTTCCAGTTCCATCCATGTTGCTGCAAATGATCATTTTTTTTACAGCTGAATAAGTATTCCACTGTATGTATATAGATATGTCAGTTTTTTTATCCATTCATCTGTGGATGAGCATTTAGGTTGATTCTGTCTTGGCTATTGTGAATAGTGTTGCAATGAACAGGAGTGTAGGTGTCCCTGATATATTGATTTCATTTCCTTTGGGAATATACCCAGTCCATCTACAGTCTTTTTAAAAAAAATCTCATTCAGTATTCTAACTTTATCTGGGTTTTTTTTTTTTCTCCCAAACTCACGTTCTGACCAGCTGTTCTGTAATGTCAGGTGGCTGTGAGGCGTTCTATTCCATAATTTGCATGTGATGTCCCTTCTCTCTCTGTGTGTCTTGCAGTAGTGTGGTCACCTGGTTGCAGGCCATTTCCCTTCCACTTGTTTGCAATTGTTTCTGCACTTGCTGATTCAATATAAGTAACTGACTGACTCTTTTTCTGCTGCATCCATCTGATGCCAATTTGTTTCAACGTGCTATAGCATGAGGCTGTGTGTTGCCTTCTTGAGATTTTGTTAAATGTGCTTTACTCAAGGTCATTTCCACATGGTTGCTACTGGGCTCTCCACCGTTCTTGGGGACATAATCGCAGGTTAGGGATATTTCCCCAGTTCTCTCTGTAGCCCTCGAGCCTTCACCTTGGTCAGCTGTATTATCCAGGGAATTTCCCCCTCTTCTTTCCGATTTCCCTGGCAGCCATTCCACTCCTAGCAGAAAAATAAAGACTATTGGTCTGCTTCTCTGCAGATGCAGATTGCATGCCTCGGGCTAGCGTCTGGGGCTGAGCTGGGCTGGCAGCAAGGCTGTGCTACCCCCTCTGCTCTTGGGAAGCCTTCCTTCCTGGGGCAGGGAGCACGGGGAGGGCACAGACCCTGGCATCAGGAGCGCAGTCAGAGGGGGAAGCTTGGGTGTGAAGGGGACATGAAAGGATAGGAGGGTTTTGTTTTGTTGTTTTGAGTTTTAGACAAAGACGGCTCTGAAGGGCTCATGCTAGTGATGAATGTGAACTGAATCTGCCAGAATGCTGGTCACTCCCTAGATTCAGAGGATACTTGGCTTTGAAGGGCTTTGGAGAAATAGGCTGAGGTCACGATGTGCTGAGCTGGGATGGAATCAGGACCACCCAGCAGCTGTGCAGTCCCTAGTAAGTCCCTTCGGCTTCTGAACTTTCATATTAATTGTCTGATTTGTCTAAGACCCTAGAGTTTGAGGCAGAGAAATCAGGATCCAAGTCCCTTGGTTCCCAACCTGCTAGTTGGAATAAGCATCTCAGTGAATGAGGGTCGAGATATGAGCAGTTTTCTTACTTCATTAGAGTTCCCAAGCCTGGCGAGGAGGGGCAACTCTCCATTTCCCCAGCAGCAAGGGAAGGATGAGGCTGCGGAGGCCCTGGGGACAGGTGCGGCTCCCAGCATGTTAGGTAACTTCTCTGAGTGAGACGAGGCAGAAGAGGCCACCGCCAGATAGACATGAGTTAGGGTTTCAGGCTTCGCAAAGGGGCTAGCAGCAGCAGGCTGGGAAAGCTTCTCATGTACACAGCAAACCACATGGTTTACTTTCGGACGTCCTATTAGCATGCAGCAGAGCACGTGGAACTAAGTAAGGGAAACTACTACCGGTATGTTTCCTTCCCTTTCAGATGATCATTTATTGTGACCTTAGAGAATTCAAGGTCGCAGTCAACGGAGCGCACTTCCTGGAGTACAGGCACAGACTGAAGGAGCTGAGCAACATTGACACGCTGGAGATTGATGGGGACATCCACCTGCTGGAAGTAAGGAGCTGGTAGCCAGTGCAACTGCTGCAAGAACCAAAATACAGATGGCTTCCGAGATGCTGGCCCCGTCAAAACACATCTGGCGATCGCTATATTATTTATATTGTTAAAAGGAGCTTGCGTAACACAAAGTCCTCTGGCTGTTCAGTCCTTGCTGTGCAGAGTGGCTCATCTGCACTGAATGAGGGAATTTGGAGCAGTAGCAGCTTATGGCCAGTAAGGCCACTCTATTGTCTGTCCTTCCTACTGTGACCTCTTTTGCACACCACAGTCAACAAGTATATATAGGGTGCCTGCTGTAACAGAGCAGCTCACATGTGTGGAGCACACACAAGGGCACCTCAAGAAGTTTGTGGAGAAAAATAATATGAGGCGGTCAGCAAGATCAGCGAGTTAGAGCATGGTGCTGAAGCAGCTCACATGTGTGGAGCACACACAAGGGCACCTCAAGAAGTTTGTGGAGAAAAATAATGAGGCGGTCAGCAAGATCAGCGAGTTAGAGCATGGTGCTGATAACACCGAGGTCCAGGGTTCGATCTCTGTGGCCCGTCACCACAAAAAACATGAATCTTTCCATTTCCATGAATTTTTTGAAGACCCCTCGTATTATTTTTTGTGGGCAAGGTGCGAGGGGTCTGTGCATGCACAGTGTTGTACAAACCAGCCTGTTCCCTGTTCACTTGAGCGTAAACTCTTCTGTGCTCTACGAATTCACTGTTGCTGCTGCAGACACTGCATCTGCATAAACGCAGCAGGGGTCCTCCAGGGTTAAGCAAATCATGCAGTTATTAAGCCCCCTAAAGGCATTAATTTACAGAAGACACCACTCCTTCCCCAGTGATTGCTTTCATAACCAGCATTCTATCATATCCTATAATTGAGAACCAATGTTGACTTACATCTGGCAATTAATTTTCTTCAGCATCATAAACATCTAGCTCTACTAGCTGTAAACTTTACCAAATAATCAACACGACATCTGAACACAGCACAAAAATTAAGGCCAAGAAACAAAGCAAAACAAAACACAAATGGCGTTGAAATTAACTTGATGTCAAGCTCGATGCAGCCCATCTCTTTGTATTGAATTCAGAGTGAGTCAAAGGTCTGTACATACTCCTACAGGAAGTTTAAGGTAGAGGAAAGATGCATTCAATTTCTAAAATACATGTGGGTGACAAAGTAATGTCAAGGATAGACTTAGTGAACTGACAGAACAGACACCATCAGAGAGTAGAACACACCACAGCGAAACCAGTGCAGCAGGTCCGGGGGCAGCGCAGAACCTGTCGCCTGCGTGCAAACCAGCATTCCTCTGCTCTTCTGTGCTTAGTCCGTCACCACTGGCAATCGAGATCAAAACGCTCTTCTGCTTTCAGTGGCTGAAGTCAGACCTGTATCAGCAAGTTAAACTGTTGCATTTCTGTAGTTTTTCTGTTGTTTGAAGGGACTTGGCAGAAGTTCTATGTAGAATCTTAACAGGTTAGATCTTGTTAACAGGAAATTTCAAAGATTTGGGAGCGGGGAGGGAAAAGAGCTTAATCAGATCACTTTATCATATCAAATTGCTGGGCAGAACTCTGCCAGGACTTATGAAAATATTCCTAACAGATTTTGATTAGATGTTATTAGTTTCCATATTGAAAAGAACACTATGATCAATCTTATTTTTTTTTTTTTTCCTTTTTGTCTTTTTCCGTGTCCGGCAACGGATCGCAACCCTCAGTGTTGCCCCCGTACCGGACTGGGACCGGCTACGGGATCGCAACCCTCGCCGTTGCTCCCGCACCTCGCTCAGCCAGTGAATGGGAACCGGTCTGTATCTGGGATCCGAACCCTCGGCGGGAGCGCCGCTGCACTTCCCAAGCGGCGCACTGCAGCAGTGCACCACCGGGCCGGCCCTGATCAATCTTATTTTTAAAAAAGCACTCAGTGTAGAAACTGCTAGCCATTAATTCTTTTCCAGTTTTTCCTGTTAATTTCTCAGTCTTGCCAAGCTCAAAAAGACACTGGGGGGTGGGGGTGGGTGTCAGGGAAAGTCATAGGAGGCAAGAAGGCTCTAGACTCCCCCACGGGTGTTTTTTCTTCACAAAGAACATCGTGGTGCATGACTGAGATGCTGGGGACTGTAAGGCACTACACTAGGGGAAAAAAAGCACATTCACATTGTTTCCCTAAGTTTTGAAAAGTTCATTTTCACTTTTGTTTTACACCGAGTTATTAAGACTGATTCTTTAATAGAATAAAAACAAAATCTTGAGATTTTTTTTTTTTAAAAAGCAGCTATTAGTTGGACCAGCCCCGTGGCTCACTTGGGAGAGTGCGGCGCCCCGAGTTATTAAGACTGATTCTTTAATAGAATAAAAACAAAATCTTGAGATTTTTTTTTTTTTAAAAGCAGCTATTAGTTGGACCAGCCCCGTGGCTCACTTGGGAGAGTGCGGCGCTGGTAGCACCAAGACCGCAGGTTCGGATCCTATATCAGGATGGCCAGTGCGCTCACTTGGGAGAGCGCGGCGCTGGTAGCACCAAGACCGCAGGTTCGGATCCTATATCAGGATGGCCAGTGCGCTCACTTGGGAGAGCGTGGTGCGGACGACAGCAAGCCAAGCAAGGGTTGCGATCCCCTTACCGGTCAAAAAAAAAAAAAGCAGCTATTAATATTTATTAATAAATTTTATCGAGACATGTCTTAAAGAGAAATATGCATTTCTAGCACACTGTGTCCTTAAACTCTAAGCTGGCCTTTGCTTGTCACAATCTGCATTGAATTCCTACACGGAATTAGATCAAAGGCTTTTCAGACTCAATGTGAACATTTTATGGGATCGTTCTTAGATGCCTTAAAAAAAGGGCAGATTTGTTTAATTCTATTTGAGCCCTCACTTTCCAGCTTCCCCATGGCATGGCACTAGATTTAGGTAACTTCAAATCACTGAAAAAAAAAAACCTCCTGATACTTACTTTCTTTCTCACACATGTCATTTGTGGTTAACCACCAGTGGAAATGTGATCATTCTGAATCCTGGAGGGCTTCCCTCACGCCACCTCCGTTCCTGGGCTCTTCCTGTTACTATGAGCAGCATATTGCTTCTACCCCCCACCCCAAGATTAAAGGATAAAAGAGACAATCATAGTCCTATGCATTCCAGAACTGCTTCCCTGTATAGGCACACATAAAACATTTAAGGCTGAAGTGTCATCTACCCAAAATGAAAAGTAAAAACCCAAACCCTTTCAGTCAAAAGTATTCTTTTTTTACATTTTTTATTTGCCAGCTGGCTGGTTCAGGGATGGCACTCTGGACCTTGCTGTTAATCAGCACCATGCTTTAACCAACTGGAGAAATGTTCTTGTTGAATGCTGAGTACGTGTCACTTCCTTGAAGTGGAGGCTACTTTGAGTGACATCTCCAACATGGATACCATGCACTTAAGACGCTGCTGCTATACGGAAGAGTTAGGCCTTGACAGTCTAAATGAGATGTTAGCTTTGAATGCTAAAATTAAAGGTGTGTAATATTAATAACCAGTCAGAAAGAACCACAGTAAGCGTTTAAACACACACAACAGTCTGTAAAATAAACTCCATGTATCATTTACTCTTTCTGCAGCTCCATACAGTTGGCAGGAGAGGCTTACGTGGCAGCACAAACCAGGTGGGAATTTTGTAAACTAGTGATTAAATATTCATTAAGTCCAAATAGGTGTTAAGGCACCAAAAGTAACATGGCACCAAACAGCCAAAAATAAAAATATGAAAAACAAATGTGAACTCTGAACCAGGCATGAAGTCCCAGGAGGAAAGGTCAGAAGTAGCTCTGGAGCGGCTCTCCCAGTGTCACTTCCAGCTGCTGAACCGTCTTCTGGCACTGACGCTCTACTTCTTCACATTCATCTAAAAATAAAAGGGAAATCTTAGTCTTGCTGCCTCAGTCACCTTTAGCCAATTCCTGACATCTGCGTCCTGGCGGCCACCAGGCTGAGAGATGCAGCGCGAGCGGGGCAGGAGGCCTTGTCACCGCCGCCTCCCACTTCCTTCAGGCTCAGACTTAGAAACCGAGGGAGAGAACCCCCGTGACAGTGGGAGACAAATCACAACTCAGACGTCCCACCAGGGCCGCTCCCCGAGTAGCTCACACAGCCCCTCCAGGAGGTAAGGAGCACAGAATGCACTTGTTTGTTTTAGAAAAGCCGTGAAGCGTCCCTGTGAAGGTCAGTCCCTGCTTCGTGACGAGACCCCGTTACTTCTCAGGCAGCAATGGTAGCCCAGTGCTGAAGAGCCTGTATTCCAGAACTGGGAGGCTACCCCGTCTGGGGAATGAGATAGTCAATCATAAATGTACGGGGTTAATTAAGAACAACATTTTAGTCTGTACGATCACAGAAAATCAGGGAGGACAGAGATTACCCTGTAGACAGCCTCGTGTGCTCAGGAGCTGACTGCTTCCCAACTCGCTCCCTCCTCCCCACTCGGCACTGGTACTTGAGCCTGCCTGTCTGTGAGACCGGGAGCAGGGCAGGGGACTGCTAATCACAGTACATCCAGATCTGTAATATCATGGGGCACATTTTCACAAAATTTTACTGTGAATATTTCTTAATGGTTTGGTAATTACCTTCCATCAATTCTGCTAAGAAAGGAATGGATTCTGGTAGCAAGACAATATAATTCTCCTTTAGTTTTTCAGCCAGTGCTAACACGGTAATCAAAGCAGCAAATCGAACCTAAAGGAGATAAGAGAGTAAAGAATAAACAAGTAGTGTGTATTTATTAAGACCTGTACTGACTTGAGACGTGCTCTGACGACTTAAACTAAATGGCATTTCATGTGCACTTTTCACTTTATGATGTCCATTCAACTTTCATTTTGGGCTATCAGTTTATTTAAACCATTTGGGGTCTGTTTGTAATATAGGCAACCTTATAAATCAGTGTTTCTCAAACTGGGTTCTGGCACGACAGATCTTTAATGTGAATGTCTTTTTATAATGTGTTCCTTTAAGAAAAATAAAATATAATGCCCCGTGCACACTCAAGCGCGTCACCAAATTTAACTGCACTGGAGCTGGCTGGCTCGCTGGGCTGCCACAGATGATGCCGGGCTGGCAGTAAAGCGTCTCTGGCAGGACTTCCACCTCCAGCTCTGACCATGGCCGCCACTACGGTCATGTGAGGGGCCAGGGCACCCGTCTGCGTTACTCTCTCACCTCAGTACTGAATAAAAAACACGCCCTGTGTCCCGATGTTCTAGTTTTGGAACTTAAAAAAAAAAAGTTTGCGTGTTTCTCACATGGCTTGTCTATGACAAGAAATGTAAGCAGTTGTTAGGTATTGTTAGCAATTCTCTTTCTAGTTCTTGGATCATTTAATTCTACCTCAGAAGACTGTGACAAACTGAAAGCACTTGTCTCTGGAGCTCAGTAACAAGACCGCATTTCAGTGCTTGTGTCTACTACACCCATGGGATGGAGTGGGGTGGGAGGAGGGGAATTGCTATTACTTATTGATAGCCTGTAAAAACCACAAAAGCTTCTCAGGCTCAAACTTCCACCTTCCACGGTAGTGCAGCCCCCTGGTGCTGGATGGCAGGGGGCAACGTTCTTGCAGCTGGTCTACCAGGGCCCGTGTCCCCGACCGCGTGCAGCCTGTTTAGGCAACACAGGGAACACATGCAGCTTGGCGCTGCCGCCCCAGTTCCCCACCTTAGGGGAGGAGTCTCTCGTCTTCAGCAGAATCTGGTAGTTCAGTGGTTTCCAAAGCGAGTCATCTGCCATGGCCACTGAAAACTGTGCGATGCATGGGATCAGCTGCTTTGTCACCCGTTCCTGGAAACTCTCTTCTCCTCCAAGTCTGTTTTCTAGCTGTGAAGAGTAAGACACAAACACTGAGCAACGGGTGTCATGTTTTCTTGTCTGAAAACATACCTGATGTATAAATAATATTTTACTTTATTAACAGTTTGTTAATATTTTAATGTCCTTCCTGATGTTAGCAGTCTCAGAAACCAGGCAGTATTCTAACACTCTCTCCAGAGCAAATTTATTGCCTTCTGGAACTTCAAAAGAATCTGGTAGCCCTTAGCAGCATCCCTTTCCCTCCAGCAGAGCACCTGGAGGAGTCAGCTCTTCCCTCCAGAGGGCAGCCACACCCTGGAACATTCACAGTGGAGCCACGTTAAGTTTCCTAAAATTAATATTAACCATGAAATCTTCAAAAGTAAAACTCATTAAACTTCACAGTGAAGATAAGTTATATCCATGAAAAATCAATTTTGAAATTGAAAAGAAAAAAGCCTTGCTAGTTGTCATTTAGCAGAGTGAAAGCCTGCAGAGATTGAACGGTGACAGCTTCCTCAGGAACAAGAGTGACTGTGTCCGGTTACCTGGTCCACCAGAGGCATCATCAAGGCTTCTGCTCTCTCTTTACTTATGAAGTGCTGGGTATCAAAGAGGAAGATTTTATACAAACAGTTCAAAATAAACTGCAGCAGCAAGCAGCACTTTTCAGTGTTATTTTCAGAGTCAAAAAATGCTTCATCTGTAGATGGGGGAAAAGGAAAAATGAAAGAAACTGAATTTCACAACTTAATCTCCAATATTTAAATTGGAATCACTATTAAAATAACTACAATCAGAACAGTACAGAATTCTAAAATGACCTAGAAATCATAATTAGGATAAAGGCAGAACACGAAACGGACGGTGTCTCAGAAAAGTGATACCTCCTATTCGGGCTGTTAAGATTCTTTTTTTTTTTCCCCTTTTTTTGGTCATTTTTACTGACAGGTAACGGGATCGCGACCCTCAGTGTCACGCCCGTACCGGGGACCGGCAACAGGATTGGTGTGTTGACAGACAACCACTGACCTGCAATGTAGGAATTCTGCTTTGCAAGACACCTGAGGATTAAGAAACCTTTCACGGTAGAAACAAACAGGGCACACTAGTTCCCACAAGAAGTAATAAAAGGCAGCTCTACCAACCCAACTGCACGGATCTTGCAGAGGGAAAAAAGCAATACAATACATTCTGCACAATTAAAAAAGAGAAGCGCCTCACTAAACAGTGATCCCATATCCATTTCACGATGAAGCAGAAGGGACAATGGAAGAGGTAAAGAGGCACACATTTACTGAAAACAAAGCACATCTTTTCAGAAATAGGAATCCCTCCTGTCAAACAGAAATTAACACTTAAAGACTGAAGAAAATCGCTAAATTGGTTATCTTTTGCTGTCCCCACCCCCCCTCCACGTGGCATGTCGTGGTCATCAGGGCTCACCTGGGACAGAACACCTTCTAGGTAGGGGCTGATGAAGTGTGGGAGAGTCTCGACCACCTTCTGCAGGGCAGCCAAGGCGCTGAGCAGGTAGACCTCGCTGGAGACCAGCGCGCTGGTATTCCTCACGGTGGCCAGCAGCGAGGGCATCAGTCTAGACACGGGGAACACAAGTTTTAGAGGAACTTCCGCAGAAACAGTGACTGGACAGCGGTGTAGAGGTAGCTACCCGTTACATCCCTACGTACCTCATAGCCTAGAAAACGTCATCTACACATTTTATGTGACCAAGTGCAAGAAATCTCCCTGTGCCAATAGTACTGACATCATAGTAATTTTTTAAAAATACCAATGCCTTTCAATTACTGAACACATGCTATGTGTCAGGCACTGTGCAAAAAGACTTGCAAGCACTGCCCTAGAGAAACCCCCTGGGGTGGGACCGTCCCCGTTTTACACATGGCAAAGCTCCAACAAGTTCAGTAACCTGCCATGGGTGCAGAGCTAGCAGCCATCACAGCCAAACGTGGAGCCGGCAGCCGTGCCTTCCCCACGTGGCAGCACAGGGCAGCTCTGGCCTCGCCCGCTGGACGGGCCCCTCCATCAAGGAGCCTCACTCCCTGCTCTCTAACTAGTCAAGGAGGGGAAAAACGGGGGGCAGGGAAGATCACAAGGCAGTGCACCCGAGGATAAACAGGAATGCTGTGTTTCAGTTTGAAGAGGAGGCCGATTCTTTAACAAATCTAATTCTACGTAAGTTCTACTCAGAGGAGGGAAGGAAAAAGAAAGGTCACTGAGGTATTGTTTCTCCATCGGACCCGACTGCTGGGTCCTGCTCCGAGTGGCAGCGGCGCACCTGGGAAGCTGAGGGACGGCCAGTGCCTCCAGGGTGGAGGCCACCTCTGCTACGCAAAGCAGGGCACTTCCCAAGACGTTCCTCTCTTCTTTCCTTTCTGGACTGATCAGGTTCACTGCAGCGTCCAACACAGGGACAAAGGGCTCCGGATGTCCTGCACCGAAATTCTTGCACAGAAGTTTTAGGGTATACAAAGCCATCTGTCTGTTTATTGCTTGTTCTTCTTCTGCCTCCTTTCCTCCTTGCACAATGGCCAAAAGGACCGGGACCAGTTTTAGGAAACGATAAACCTGAAGAGGAAGGCAACACCCAAAATAATTAAAGCTGCAAGAAACGCTAGTCTGTTTCTCCATTTGCAAGGCTTGAGACTGTCCAAATGGAAGTCAGATTCTGGGGTCCTGAACCACGTGGTGATACACAAGCACCTGTTCTCCATCTGCCTTCTTTACCGCTAAGCAAATGCATGCGCCTGCTGACCAATTCTTGTTGTATGTTTTGTTTTGTGTTTTTTGGTGGCTGGCTGGGATAGGGGTCCGAAGCCTTGACGCTGGTGTTGTAACACTGCACTCTAACCAACTGAACTAACCTAACGGCCAGCCCTGACTTTTGATTTTATAGAAAGCACCCTACTAGTCTGGAGTAAAAGGGGATTAGAATTATGCTAAGCCAAGGCAATGTACAGTCCATCTTAAGTACGAAGTCCATGAGGCTGAAATTCTAAGAGCTCTTACAACACATGTACACTCTATTAAATTTACCATCACATTTTTAAACATATACACATCACAGTATAATATGAAGGGGTTAAATGCAGCTCTCTGACGAAGCAAAGGAGGGCATGGGAAGCTCTGCAGCCTGCACTCACAGTTTTCTCCTTCCAGTGTGCGTTCTGCTGCAGCTTGTTATTCAGAAGATCCAGTGCTTTCCGGCGAACGGATGGGAGGGGGTTGCACACCAGTCCCCTGATCACGGGGATAAATGTCTCTGTGGGCAGCAAGGCGTTGACCTACAGAAAAGTTTTACACAAAAAGAAAAAAAAGGGGGGGTCAACTCTAATGGAAATAGACTTCCATTCACTGCACACCCTCTAGCACCAGGCATTTTCATACACATTTTATTATTTCTTTCAATAGCCTTTCAGGTAGGCATCACTAACCACAAATTACTATACAAAGCAAAAACTTGATGTTAGGAATACGTGTCAAGGCCACATAGTTATATAATTTGCCTAGATTTGAGTAGCAATCCTAATTTCAGAGCCAATGATATATCTAATATATCCAATAAGCATTTTTTTTATTCCACCTGAATAAAGTGGAACATTATACAGCATATTACACGACTATGTATATTTCACATAGTTGAGGCACATGGTTTTATAATTAGTAGGGAAACAATTTTTTTCCAGACAAATTTATCTCTAGTCATCAAGAGATTCTTTTCCAAGAAAATTCTGAGCTTCTTTATATTAAGAAAAGGTACTGCTAAATTTATTCTTAAAAGTAAAACTTCAAGATAAATAATTTCACAATGACAAAAACAGCAACGAAACACAGTTATGGGGAGAACTGAAAACCAACCTTATCTAACACGTCGTAGGCTTTACTGAGGAGTGCTCGCCAGAACTTCACAGTCAGCTTGTCTGCATTTTTTTCCAGGGCCTGTGCTACGGCATTAATATAGCCAAGAACAGTTTCCAGCAACCTGAAACACGGCACACATTCAGCTAATGGAACCTGAAGGCACTTAAAAAACTCACATCTATCTCATGCTGAATGTTCCAAATCAAAAGACCAACTAAATAACTTTATACTAAATTATTTCAAAAACTAGGTGGAAAGAAAGGAAAAGGAGGGATTATCACCACAGAGGAATATCACTAAGAAGTACACAGGTGCCTCTGTCCGAAAGGATCGCCTACACTCGGGCTGTGAGGCGCGGAGTCAGCAGCAGCGGTCTGACCGCCGTCCACGCTGGCTTTCAGGGAGTTACGGCCCTCGGTTATAGTGGCAGCTGCCCCCCCGACCCCCCACACTCATATGTTCAGGTCAAATGGGAACACACCCATGTCTCCAACACTGCTAGGAGACAGAAAAGATACAAAGTTCAATTAACCTATAACAGAAAAGTACACACCAAATTCCAACACAATGACCACTGGAGCCCCCCTCACTGCTGCCAGCCTGAGGGGGCATTCTGGAGGATGAGAGCAGAGACAGAACTTGACACCACACAGCAGAGGAGGGGAATGGAGGGCACGGACAAAATCCCCCTCCGACATGGAAAGTCCTGCATACAGGGCTACGAGCCAGGCCACAGGACAGGAGCTCACAGCTCACAATCCCGGCCACAGGGCAGGCACCTTCCAGGAAATGGCAGGACGGAAGCCTTGCAAGGCAGTGCTTCCGGGAAGTAGGTGCATGGCAAGGCCAGGAGATACCCTGGCGATGTGGGAGTGAAAGGAAAGAATTTCTGAATCCAAATACGTAACGACACCACATGGATGATAATCCACGGAATAAAATAAGAGATCTCAAGTCCATGCAGAACTGGACCAGATTAAAAGACCCTAAGGAGAGATGACAACCAAGTACAACATACAAGCCTAAAATGGATCGTGACCCAGAGAAAGAAGTGATATAAAGGACACTGTTGGGATAAATAGGGAAACTGGAATATGATGAGCTACAGATCAGATCACAGTACTGTATCAATACTAAACTATATGAATTTGAAAACTGTACTGTGGTTCTATAAGAACATCTCTCATTCTTAGGAAATATGGGGGAAGAGGCATGCTGAACACAACCTACTTTCAGTGGACGAGAGGGAAAGTCTAGGGAGAATGACACAAACGGGGCAGAAGGCACTAACAACCAGGCCCCGGCTGCAGAGAGCTCTGTGCTCTCCTCTACCAGTACTTCTAAAGTTTGAAATCCTCTCCAAATAAGAAGTAAAAATAGAGAAGTAAACATACCTCTGTTCAAGGCCTTTTAAAATCTGCGGACCACCACCGTCAATGACCTAATTTTTAAAGAAGGCACCATTAGAACAGAATGCAAGCAGATAATAAAAAGTCATTTGAAGTAAGTTCCTTGAAACTCAGCTTGGATGAGTCACACAGACCTCGCATGGGAACTGTTTTCTGACACGACAATTTAATCAGGTCCAGATTACCCTCATGAGACTGTAGTAACTCTACTTCTCTTAATTTATTTTAATTACATTCTATTTATAATATCTGTAAAGTACTACAAAGAATCAGAAAAATATAGCAATCAAATCAGTTACCCAGAACCTAATTTTATGAAATGCTGCTTGCTCACGTTTGCTCAGACATAATTTATTAACCAATTAACGGTTTTTACAGAGACAGCTGCAGTCCCCCACGTACTGCTCATCGGCCCTGTTCTCCCAGTGCCGCTCGCCCGGCAAAGACGACCACCACCCTGAATCTGCAGTTAAGTATTTTCAGACAGCACATATCATTCAACAACATGTTTTTGGGGAAGTATCAGACTTTTCATTAACAGCTTTGACATTTTTGCCAATTTGATGGGCATGATAGTGGCATCTCATTTAGCTGACATTTCCTGCTTACTAGGGAGGTTGAATTGTGTCCTATAGGAATTGTCCATTAGTGAGTCATCTGCCGTGAATTCATATTCTTTGCCAGTTGTTCTAATGGCAACTGATGCTTTTATTTATGCAGAGCAGTAATCGTCTCAGTCTGTGGCTCTCTGTTCACTTGGTTTATGTGGTTTTTTGTTGAGCCAAAATTTTAAAGAAATTCTTCTCTATCCTCTGGTCACAATAACGTTCTCCCTGATTTCCTTCTAAAAGTTCTAACTGTTGCTTTTCACACTGATGTTTTTAACTCTACCTAAGACTGTCTTTTGTATACAGTGTGAGATTAGAGTCTTTTTCTTCCAAATAGGAAGCAAATCGTGTCAGTGCGAGTACCGGGACAGTTCCCTTTCCCTGCTGCTTTGTAAGGCCACCTGCCACCCTTCTTGGGGTGTGTTTCTGGGCTTCCTCTTCAGTCACACTGATTCGTCTCAGCATTCTTACAGCATCACTGTCCTTGGCCCCTGGCATTTGGGGATCAACCTGTCAAGATCATTTTTTAAAAAATGATGTATTTGAGGAAGTGTACTGAATTTCTAGATTAATCTGGGAAGAACTGTTATCTTTAAATAGTGAGTGTTCCTGTGCATGAACACAGTGCCTCTTTCTATGCTGTCATGCTTTCTTTTATGTCCTTTAATATCTTGGAAATTTCTCCATAATATTCTTGCACATCTTTGTTAGGCTTATTCTTGGTAACTTATGAGTTTGTTTTTATTGTATATGAAATCTTTTTTTCTACTCTATTTCCTAATAAGATTAATAGAAGCATTATTTGCTTGATACAGATCATGGTCTACACTGGTCTCTAGACAGTGTCTACACTGATCTCCATAAAGAAGCTTGCTGAACCGATTATTAGTTCTAATTATCTGTTGATTCTCTTTATTTCCTGATTCTTACACTCATTTCTTTTACTTAGAAACAATGAGAGAGGGAACCCTTGTTCCTGACTTCCACAGGCATGCTATGTTTTGTCATTAACTACGATGTAAACCACAGGTTTCTGATATTGACCTTTATTAGGCCAAAGTAATTCCCATCTGCTAAGAGGATTTTGTTTCTTAAGTCACAAATGAATACTGAACGTACTGAATCATTTCCCTGTTAAGTTTACGATGATCACATGGCTCCCCTTGATCTGTTAATGCATTATGGTACTTTAATAGATGTTCTGATGTTAAACCATTTTTGAATTCCTGGTCATGAGATTTCTTTCTTTCCTTTTTTTCTCTCATTGCTTCTGTATTTCCTTCTTTCCCTCTCATTGTTTAAACTGAAGTGTAACACAAACAGAAGGGCCCACAAGTCATACATGCAGAGCTCACCATATCCAGGTAAAGAAACAGCCTACACCAGCACCCCAGACACCCTGTTCCCCGGCCCCCATCACTGTCCCCTTCCCCTCCCCAAAGATAAAATGCTGTCCCGACGTCTAAAGCCACAGATTTGTTCTGCCTGTTTTTGAGCTTATATAACTGGAATCATGGTATGCCTTCCTTCGTGTCTGGCTTCTTTCTTTCCAAGTTGTTTGTGAGACCCTCAGGTGGCTGTGTGTCCCCGAGGTTCACCATGTTCACCTAGGACTACAGACCATTTATCCTACTGACAGACACTTGGGTTGTAACCAGTGTGGGGCTACCACGAATCAGTACAGTCGTTATAAGCGTTCCTGTCCGTGCTGGTGTACGTGCTCGCACACTTCCGCTGGGTAATGCCACTTGAGAATGAAATTACCGAGTCGCAGGGCTTCTACACATGCTCTGCCTTTGCACGTCAGGCCAAATGGTTTTACACGGTGAAGTGTTCTACTTTTTTCCTATTATCTTTAAAGCATGTCTCATGTTTTCATGAGACATTTGCCAAGCTACTAATTACCGAGTCGCAGGGCTTCTACACATGCTCTGCCTTTGCACGTCAGGCCAAATGGTTTTTCACGGTGAAGTGTTCTACTTTTTTCCTATTATCTTTAAAGCATGTCTCATGTTTTCATGAGACATTTGCCAAGCTACGCTTACTAGTTTAAAACCCAGTTCCTTTAGAAAAAGCAAAATCATTTTATCATAAACACATTTAAAGAACGGATTACCTTTTTGAGAAAATTATTGGAAGCCAGGAGCTGGGACATGAAGGACACTGACAAAAATTTAAAATGCCGCAGCTGCTTGCTAGTGTGAGTGTCTACATTAAAAATCTGTAGCATTCCTTCTTGGGGTTCACTCTTACTAGACACTGTTTTGGGAATGGGCTCTGAAAAACAGCAACAAAACGGTGACCGTACTCATCCTCAACCTCATCTTCCGCACAGATACAGACACTAACGAGATTTAGAGCACAGCAGGGTTAACAGGATACAATTTTCAGAGACAGAAATCTGATTACACCCAGTTTTCCCTCTTCTAAATTAGTGAAAAATGTGAGCAGGTTTACTAGGAAGTAACCAATAGTCCTGAGAAGAGAGTACGTAAGACAAAAAACAAAGCAGGGCAACTGAGACAATCAAATGGCAGACAAAGATATTTCAGGAGTCTTTCAGTGCTGGCTCTGTAACCAAATTTCTGAAGGCTTATTAGGGGCATTTACTTGGTGACCACGAGGTTTAGTTCTAAAGTCTGTAGATGTGTGTCCCAGAATTTCAAACTTCAGATGTAGAATTCCTTATTCGAACATATCTAATATAAACGGGCTTGGGGGTAGAGTGGTCAGGGGTCTGTGTTGGGCCACTTAAAAACCACTGTCTTCAGGAATGACTCAGTGTGAAGACTCTTCCTTAACCATGTTGCCACATACAACTCTCCAGGCACCTTCCTGGTCTGCTCCCGGGCAAGCTGAGCAGACTGCAGGAAGAAGACAAGTTATTGCCCAGCCAACCAGGGTGACATGGCCAATGGCTGGCCATACACAAAACTGTCCCTGTGGAGTCCCTCTTTCTAATGCACCTTGTTGCTCCACTCTGAAGGGTAGAGAACCAAGAATGTTCCATGTATCAACTCTTTCCTAAGCCAGTCTCATTGGTGCTGCAATCAGTGGAATTTTCTTCAAGACTATCTTATGTTATTGTTTAATATTTAGCTACCACTGCCATGGTACTTATTTTCTTTTCCTGTAAATGTCTTCACAGATATTCTAATGGGAAGCTGAGAGACAGCTAATAAGGTCCTACCAACTTACTGTCATTTGAACATAATTTATCCTGGACACTAGGAATATTCCACAGCCAAGACATCAGCACAAGGCACGGAGGTATAAAGGACAAGGTAGAACTCCTCCCGACTACTCTCCATAAGGGTTAAGAAAGGACACAATCAAATACTCAAATTAAATTATTAATTTACTTTAAAAAATTCTTCTGAAGATGTACTAAGTGTTCTAAGGATAACCAGCATCCTCATCTGCTTCTCTTTAACTTTTAGATTAAACTATAAACGTCACCTAACTTATTCTTACCCTCTTTTTCCTCTGGCAGCTTTATTAAGTACTGCAGGATATTCATCAAGCTTTGAATCTGATGCTGGACACTAAATTCACAACAGACTGAAACCCAAAATTCAGTGTCCGCCTCTAAAATAGCATCCTGTATAAAAAGAAGAGATAAAGGTAACAAACTGTACCTATCAAATGTTAACTAAAAAGCACAAATAAAGGAACACGTTTAAAAAATATTCCTTAGCACACAATTCATTATATATCGTTCCGTACGGTCATCCCCAGATGAGTAAGTTAGTGAGCTCCTTCTGTAAAAAGGCCCATTTATGAGAATCGTGAGGGCACAATTCCAGGACCATTTGCGTTGATTTCCGGCAGAACGGAATACACTACTTTAAGTAGGTCTAGATATTCTTCCAGATCCCACGTCTAAGACGTCATTGAAAAACAGTCCTTTGCCTGTAAGTTCTACCGTTATTTATCCAAATCCGACTCTTCCAAACAATCGTTTGTGTCTGCATCTTACTGATTCTAAGACGTGGATGTTCCTCCCTTCCCCCACAAAATGCCTTCAGAACCACTTTCAAGAGATGCAGTTACATTTACTTTAGAGCCAGACTCTGTTGTGCTTAAAACAGAACAACCCAGCATGGCACCGGATCTGTTTAAGAGAAAAGTCAAATAGCCCTCGTAAGATGTTTAGCTGCTACTGAGGATGTTCAGAGCGCTGCAGGCTCTGAAAGCAATTTTAAAGAATGCCAAAAACACTTCTGAGAAAGATTCTGAGCCAGCCTGGGAAATAACGCACATTAAGCACCAGCAGCCCTGTTTGATGTCATCAGCCCTGGCCAGTATCACCACATCTGTATGAAACCTCAGCCTTCTCCTCCTTGCCACCCTACCGCACGTCCTGACCTTCTCTCCGCAGGCGGCCACCAGCACTGTTTTAGTGACGTACTGCTCAAAAAGCAAGATGAGGAGAACCCAGAGGAACCTCTCTGCGCCCAGTGTATCAACCAGCTGAACGAGGACGGGCAGGCGCCTGTGCTCCGGCACGTGCGGCAGTGCATCCACAAACACATTCATGATCTTTACGACAATTTCTTCCACATTTCTTGTGACTTCTACAGAGTCTCCGTTACCAGACTGCAGAACAGTAAGCAGGGACAATGAATGAGTAGACGCAAACAACCCTCCACAACACGAGCTTTCCCTGGACTTCAGATGTGCCCCAACGTTCACAAAAGGATTGTCGTCGTCGAAGTCCAAACAATAATATTCAGTGAACTTCTAACATGTTGCAGGCATTATTTGGCCCCTGAGGGAATGCAAGATGTGAGCCCCGCCCCACAGGGGATCTATAATCTGTATGAAACAAGATGCCCATGTGGAAAGACAAGTGGAGGCAGTCAATGGCAGGTGCATGGAATGTGTGGTATGGACTGCCAGCCTGCTTGGACCATCTGGGATGGCTGCACAAATCATGCAGGAGTTGGGTTGCTCCTTGAGAAGAATGAGCATAATCCAGGTGAGCAGAGCACAGGAAAGGCCAACCAGTCCCTCTGCTTTCAGATGAAGCTCAATCCATTTTACTCTGGTATTGGTGATCAGAACAGTGTTGAATGAATGACAGAATAAATACACACTTGAATGAATGAAGAAACCAATGCCCAACTGTCCCGACCCTCTGCTCCTCTATCAAGTCGAGCAATATCACATTCTTCAAATGCACTGTGCACACTCCGAGACCACGCTTTTTCTCACACTACTGACCCCGTCATTCACGAAGCAAACCCTACCCTTCTTTCACACCAGTGCAGATTCTATCTGCTCATCCTGGCCTGTGTAGACGTTTCCCTATTCTGAACTCTTCAGCAGTTATTTGTTCCACTAGTACATATCACATTAATTTATATAGTGATATTTCTTTTTATGTATATGTCCTACACTCTCCAACTTGTTGGGCACTGAAAACACCAATCTAACACCAAGATTAAAAGGAGAAAGTGCTGAATGTGGTCATCCCTGGAATGGTCAACAGCATGAGAAAAAGACATTAACAAGTGAGGGAAAACAGAAACTCAGAAAGATGACCAAGCTCCTTCACCTTCGAGGCTACTTTTTACTTTCAAATTGTTCATTCCTTACTGGCAGAGGCAACATCTCGCGTCTTTCTCTGAGTTCTTAGCTCTTAGAAAATGCCTGGTAAATGTCTGTTGGATTGCATGTTAACAGATAAGCCATCAAAGCTCTAGAAGTTCCTATACTCATTGACCTACAAAAGGGTATCATAAAACTGACGCAATGTCCTGAAATAGACAGATGTACTCCGCTCTGTCAGAATAATATTAAGACACTTTATAGTTACACCCTCCTGGGGCGCTTGTTCCCGTTCTTGGAAAAGACATTTCCAAGACTGCTTCTTAGCTTCACCATTTTAAAATTTAAGAGGCCCTAGTATTTGAGCATTTCAGAAAGACTTTCAATGTCATTTATATGCAAAATTTTAAAAATTAAAAACTACTTATGGTAGTATAAAGACAACTCACCTGAATAAGGGCTGGAATAACCATTTTCACTGTCTTGTTAATAACTTGAAAACTGTAAGTATCATCCAGGCGCATGACACTGGCTCCCATAAATGTAAAAATGGACATAATATTATGTAGAACTTTATCCTTAAAAAAAAAAAAGCAAAAAAAACCACTATCAACATTTTCTATTTCTTTTTTTTTTTCCCTTTTTGTCTTTTTTCGTGACCGGTAACGGGATCGCAACCCTCTGCTCAACATCTGCCAAAAACTCTCTCCAGATGGTGGCAGAATACCCAAAGGTATGTACTTGTTGGAAGGAAAGGGTAGAAAAATGACCTGCCTTGAGTGTGAATGTCCCTGACACTCAGATTTTATTTCCCACCACTGTAGATATCCTAGACGAGGAGAAGTTCAACGTGGAATTGATAGTTCAGTGCATTCGCCTTTCAGAGATGCCCCAGACACATCACCATGCCCTTTTACTTTTGGGTACTGTTGCTGGAATATTTCCAGTAAGTATAAATACTTTAAGACTTTAGGAGATATTTCAGATGTTTTTCTTTCATGGCAATGCATTGGCACTTACTGATATAAAGTCATTAGCTTCATGAACCTCCAGGATTGGTGGGACTCTCAGCCATGCCTCTTAGTAGCTGGAAGTAAACAGTGGTGACAGTTATGAAACTTTATGCGTATACTGAAACAACTGAACTGTTCACTTTAAATGGATGAATTTTATGGCATATGAACTACATTTCAATTAAAAGAAAAAGTATCAGTGATTCTTAACTGCTTTTGGATTATCAACCCCTTTGAGAGTACAGACTCTCTTCCAAGAAAAATAAATCCCATACATAAACAATCCCGAACATGATTTCAGTAGATGAAGACCCCTAAAGCTCATGAAGAACCCCAGGTTAAATCCGCTATATGAAAATACTTTCTATCTCTTCAAAACCCTTTAAATGATGTATTTTACATAAGGGACATGATTTCTTTAAATGAAGGAGTTTATAATCAAATCAGTGTTCTTAGGTCACTGGGTGAAAGCTGTTCAGGATTATTTGATGATTAATGTGATATTGTTTCCAAATAATACCATCTTATTGGACAATTAAACCGTGCCAAGTACTGTGCTAAATGCTAACCAAATTATCCAGTTGAATCCTCACAACAATCCTATGGAGGTTACCATTAATCCCACTTGATTAAAAGATGAACTGAAGCTTTAACATGTTCACATTCTTCCAGCTACTAAGAGGCATGGCTGAGAGTCCCACCAATCCTGGAGGTTCATGAAGCTAATGACTTTATATCAGTAAGTGCCAATGCATTGCCATGAAAGAAAAACATCTGAAATATCTCCTAAAGTCTTAAAGTATTTATACTTACTGGAAATATTCCAGCAACAGTACCCAAAAGTAAAAGGGCATGGTGATGTGTCTGGGGCATCTCTGAAAGGCGAATGCACTGAACTATCAATTCCACATTGAACTTCTCCTCGTCTAGGATATCTACAGTGGTGGGAAATAAAATCTGAGTGTCAGGGACATTCACACTCAAGGCAGGTCATTTTTCTACCCTTTCCTTCCAACAAGTACATACCTTTGGGTATTCTGCCACCATCTGGAGAGAGTTTTTGGCAGATGTTGAGCAGACAACTAAGAATTAACTGTTTGGTGTATTCCATATTTCCTTGCTCTCGTGGCAAAGGTTCTAAACACCTTCAGGATGTCCAGAAGACAAAGGAAGAAAAATGTAAGAATTGCAAAATTCTTTGTCACATTAATGACCACTGTCCAGAACTCATGTTAAATAAGGAATAACTAAACCTGTCATTAAACATGAAGTCTGTAAACAAGATATAGGACTTCTCAATCTTTTCTCATATGGACAGGTGCTTATGTCAGATTATTTCTCCTCTTCATTGTACTATCCATTAACCTATTTGGAATCGTACAGGACAGCCTTGAGAATTACTTGGCTTTTCACATAAAAGCACACTCCACAACTCAGTGGCATACTCTGTAGCTATCTAATAATCTACCCTAAAAATATAGTGGGTGCCACACTACATATCTTTAAATATAAGTAATGATGTCCTGGGCACGGTACTGAAAGTTAAGAAGGAAAGTAGGCCAAACAGTGAGAGGTCATTTACTACATAATACAGGACAAAGGTTCGTTTGGGGCATGAGCAATGGGTACCTGAAACCATTCTTTTAAACTTTCAACTAGAGTACTAAATATACTTTATTTTACAGACTAAACAAGAAGAGAGTATGTTGAAAAGAGAATGTTAAATACAGTCAGATGGGCAAGAATCAGAATCCCATTCTCATAGATCAAAACCAAATGTCATTACCTTGATAGCAAGTTAAAAAGAGTTGGTATCAATATCTGAGGGCTTTTGAGTTTCTTCTTATGCTGCAGTAATTCTAGGATGAGGGTTACTCTTTGCCAGTAAGACCCTCCAACTTCCTGAACAGATTCTTGATCTTGTGATTTTCTGGGAAAGAGAGAAGATAAAAAGTTGGAAAAGCAAACACTGTCATTGCTGAGTAAAAACTATTGTACCTGATTATGCCAAATTGATGGGTATCAAAAAAATCCCAACGGTTTTACAGCACACAGGGGCTCGGACAACAGCACGTTCTCCGTTCACCCAGCCACTTACTTCTGCTGCATCTTCTGCCTTCTTGTTTGTTGAACTGTGCCCAAGGCTTTAGCTTTATCCGGTGGCTCTAGTTCTACTCTGACTTGCTCAGCATTAACGGAAATCTGAAATATTGAAGGAAGAATGGTGGATAATATAACTGGGATAAAATTAGAACAATCAGCATTGATTAAAAGAGATACAATGAAAGCATTTATGAATCCACTTTTAAATGTCTCCATATCACTCCAGAGCCCACACCAATCCCCAAAGCCATCACCACTGACAATTTCTTATGTATACTTTTGGAAATCTTCCATATACCTACCAACAGCTGTCTAAAAATTTTCTAAAACAACATACACAGGAGCATATCACACACACTGCTCTGTACCTTGACTTGTTTCACATAATGTACCTTGAAAATCTACTCATATCAGTACATGCTTACTTCACCTTACGGCATATATTTATTGTCACAAAGTACAAGAGAGTGTTTCATATAATAGAGTGTATTTTGGTAATCAAAATAACTTTTATAGTGAAAAGTACAGTTGCCTTCCATTTAAGAGCAATCTTATATGCCTTTGGCTGATACAGCACGTGTAGCAAATACCTCATATGCCCGCTAGTCGGCTGTCTACCGAGATGGAAGATGGAGGAATATGGGTTAACGTTTTCCTTTTAATAATCCTTTAAATGCTTTAAGATGTTCCCTTTTGGACTAAATCTTAATTCAACCAGTACTTAATTAGCACTATACTCAAAGCTGTTAAATATGTGTTGCCTTTGTGAGTCTCACTTTCCCTCATATCTCTTTAAAAATATTGAGACTAAAATAAGACATTACCCTATAAGGAGGGTTTACTCAACTAAGAGGGAAGAATGACTTCCTGGACATGCATCTACCACCAACACCAACCTAGCGCTAGCCAATGTGAATTCAACGTCCGATTTTCATCTTCACTAAGCTCACCTACCACCATGCTCTTGCACCTACAGTCACGCACTGCATAACAACGCTTTGGTCAATGACAGATGCATATCTGATGGCAATCCCATGAGACTATGATGACTATGCCATCTAGCCTAGGTTGTAGCAGGCTATACCATCTAAGTAAGTAAGTGCACTCTGTGATGACTGCAAAATGACAAAATCGCCTGTGACGCATTTCTAGAAACTTACTCCTGTTTTTCATTCCTGTTGTTAAGCAATGTATGACTGCATTGGTTCATCCTGGGTCTCAAGTTTAGCCCTGTGTTTGACCTGAAGATGACATCATACCCCTTCTCCAGCCCAGTCACTCAATTCCATATTCAGCCCGAGTGGCAAAATAGTAACACGATACAGAATCATCCACACCGACTGGTTCCAAGTGACAGACCAGGCAGATCCTAACCCACTGGGAAAGAATAATCACATGTGTACACATGTACACACACATTCACACCCCCAGAGATTCTTAAGATATCAGGTGGAATGCAGAAATCTCTTTCTTAAGAAAGGTTCTGACATTAAAACTAAATGTTTGAATTCTGATTAAAAGAAAACAACTGTAAAAAGTATTTTTGAGACAACCATGGAAATATGATTATGGACTGGGTATTAGATGATACAAAGGGATTACTTTTAATTATTTTCACGTGTGATAATGGCAAGTAGTCATACCAGAAAACGTCCACTTTTTAAGAGATGCATACTGAAGTTCATAGGGATGAAAAGTGCATGATGTTTTGAGATTTACTTTAGAATACTTCAGCAAAGAACAAGAAGGAATAAAAAGGTTAAGTACATAAAAATTCTGAGAACTGCTGAATAATCTGGAAACTAGGACTTCATCATATTATTCTATATTTTTGTGAATGTGTTTTCCTAAAAAACAACCAAAAAACAGAATAACCATGTGGTTATTCTGATGCATAACTAGGTTTCAATATACATATAAAATCAATAAGCAGATTCTCAATTCCATCATATATGTCATTAAACAACTGTTTAAGTAGAATAATCTGACACCCAGGTCCACACTGAGCCACTTAACTCATTACTACTCCTTGCGTAAAACAGGTAGGTCCCACCTAATACAAGTAAGATCCAAACCCACACACAAATGCACATGCACACACCTTGCCTGGTTAAAACTGTAAATATCTCTTACAATGAAAACAGTGGTGAAGGCTTATACTTTTGATTTTGTGGCTCTTTATGACCTAATTTTCCATGATTCTTGTTAATGGTAACATATGACGTCTTAGAAACACTGTGAAATGCAGGACACTTAAACACAGTCTCACTTGGAAGAGACTACGAGTTACAGAAGTTTGCGACTTACCCCTTTAAAAACACTGCTAACAGTCTGGGCACAATGTGAGTTTTTACAGTTCACCAATAAATCAAACAACATTTGCAAAAGCTTCTGCTGAACTTTTTCATCTGCTATAGCTGCAAAAAATGGTTTCGTAATCTAGAGGGGGAAGAAAAAAGGCAACTGAGTTCAGTGAGTAAGTATGAACTCCAAAAATCATTTTTATGCCATTCTCACAATATAAAATTGTTGCCCATTTTATTTTGTTAGTTAAAATGTGATTTTTTAAAAAATTTTGTCAAAATGTGATTTTTTTTAATGACCTATGTATAGCATTCAACTTTGCAAAATAAGTCAATAGATCACGTTCCTTTCTTTTTTTTTGTCCTTTTTGAGACCGGCCGCACCGTGCTCAGCCAGTGAGCACTGTGAGCGTGCCGGTCATCCCTATATAGGATCCGAACCCGCGGCGGGAGCGCTGCTGCACCCCCAGCACCGCACTCTCCCGAGTGCGCCACGGGCTTGGCCCTAGATCACGTTCCTTTAAAACATGTAGTCACCAATAATTTTATCTTCTTCAAATAAAACATTACAGATTCTTAAGTGCTTGAACGTGCTTTAGTTTCTGGAAGAAGTCACTGACCTTTTCGAGGGCTGTGATCTGAGTGGTTGGCACTCCTGTGTAAAGTTCCTTTGTTGTGTGCACAGCTCTTATAAATATATCTAGACACTTTGGGTCCTTATGTAAAAGGGAAGCTGAATATTCATTATATTTTCCCAGAGTGAGATGCAAAAGAATGGCCTCATCTTTCAGGACAGCTGTGGGCTCCTTCTGGATCTTTTTTAGTAGTTGTTCAGCAGTAGGCAATAGCTGAGAAAGCACCACCTAAAGATTGGAAAACTTATTAGTAAATAGGTATACAGATATGCTTTTTCTCACACTACAAAGACATCCAAAGATACCCTGCTGGAAGACGGGGAGCTTAACCTGGAGAAAAAAATCCAATAGTGATGACCTCTTGAACAGGGGACAGCTATTATCCATATTAAGGCACTCTGGTCCTCTCCGATAGTTCATCTGTAATGCTCAAAATCTCTAAGCCCTTCAGAAATGAGCAGAGAGATAATCTACGAGCACCCACAAGACTTTTTGAGAACAGGAAATACAAGCTAAAACATTAGAGTATAAAAATAAATTTTAGCATTCTGTAAAACACTGTGTTTTTTATGTGCTTACACACTGTTTATGGCTGCTTTCCTTATAAAACGGCAGAGCTGTGTATTTGCAACAGAGACTGTATGGCCACAAAGCCTAAAATATTTACTGTCTGGTCCTTTACACCAGAAGTTAAACAACTCCTGGCTTAAAGTATACCAGGGAGCTATTTGCTCCCATCAGGAAAAAATAATCAAACGGCCTTCACTCCCTGTTACCCAGTCTAAGACTGGTGAAGTGCACAGGCATTTTTAGAATGCAAGGATGAAGGAATTTTTCTCCGCTGATCAGCACATACCATCACATAAACAAGTCTTTCATACCGTATCAAGGCTTCCTTGAGAACATAATGAAAGCTATGGATTTTTCTCTCCAGAAAAATGTACAAATCATGTATTTAATAAATGAGCAAATGATTTTGAAGTTTTCACAGACTCTTATACTCAAATATATTCCCCTGTGGAGGATTTTCACTTCAAAAATACACACAACAGCCATTTCAGTAGAGCACCCCACTTTACATTTTAAAAATCCATTTAAAATCTAATTAATTATTACAGAGGGATAATATACTCCTTTTTGTATTCTGTATCTTTTTTCTCCACCTCAACTCTTCTCCCTCCCAAATTAATGTGAAAATTACCACTTCTGAGTGCACGCATGTAACTCTTGCAAATATCTTCCTCATACATGAGCAGTCACAATAATTCTTTAGTAACATCACATGGGAATACACAATCCACTTAAATTTCACCTACTTCACCGCTGACTTCCTGAAGTATGTTCATCAAATCTTTTGCAATATAAGATGGGCAACTATATACACAATAAAGTAGGGTTTTCAAAGTTTCAGACAAGTTCTGATGAGATTTTGATTTCTTTTCTCTCCGTAGTTCCTCAAATAAAGCAGACAAATCCTAGGGTACCAAAAAAGAAAATCAGATTAAAAAAAAAAAAAAAAGGGTAAGGAACTACAAAGGCGAAATGTACTAATTATGGAAGACTCTTTCCTAAATGATGTGACATTGTTTATACTTCTTCATTTCCCCTTAAAACTGTAACTGGAAAGGGGAAACAGTTAGCTTACTATGAAAAGCCAAACACGGTCTTTCATCTGATGAAAGGATAGCAGAATTGAAATGTGGTGCTGCTAGCTCTTAAAATAGGGGAAGAAAGATATGCAGACACCGACATATCAGTTTTGAATTCAATGACTTAGTCCATCAAAATCCCTGCTAAGTAAGATGTCAAGAATGAAGGACAGTGTTCACATGTACACACTCCATCTCTGCTCAAGATTTTACCTGAACTACATAGGTGGCATCTGAGGTGATCTCCTCCGCTTTAGGAACCAAATGACCTATTACCAGATGAAAATGGGACACTACTCCACTGAGGGCCTGGAGACAATGAATGGCAGCCCGACGAACTTCTTTTATCGGGTTTCCCAGATTAATGAGTAGAGATGTCACCACTAAAATAAAAAGAAAAAAAAAACAACCCAAATTTAAAAAACTGAAACAGTACAATGTTCAGATAGTACCAAAGGTACAAGACGAAAAGTTTCCCTCCCAACTCAAACTCCCTCTCCAAGGACCATGCACTATTTTACTATATAATTACTATCCCAGAAAAATGTCAGGCATATGCTACCTGGTACATTCTTTCGAAAACACACAACCCAAATTTAAAAAACTGAAACAGTACAATGTTCAGATAGTACCAAAGGTACAAGATGAAAAGTTTCCCTCCCAACTCAAACTCCCTCTCCAAGGACCATGCACTATTTTACTACATAATTACTATCCCAGAAAAATGTCAGGCATATGCTACCTGGTACATTCTTTCGAAAACACACAAGTGAAAGGATACAAGGGTACTTCAAAAAGTTCACAGAAAGATTCCATATTATCTTACAACTGTATTTTTCCACAAACTTTTTGAAGTACCCTCATTGTATGTATCCTGCTATCACATTTCAAAGTACTTGGAAGTTCCATGTAAGTGCATACATAACTAAATTAAATCATTCTTTTTAATTGTAAAGTACTCTACTGTATTTCCCGTCATTTTTAAACCAGTACCTTACAGGTGAAGGTTAGGTTATTTCTAGTCTTTGACATGAAAACAATGCTGCAACAAACACCCTTGTACATACATCCATGCACAGTGTTTGCACGCAGGGAATTATCCACCTGTGCATCACGCTTTGCAAATATTTTGTCCCAGGCTGATGTGTTTTGACTTTTCAATGCAGAAATTTTACAGTCAAATTTTTCTTCTAGTTTTTCCTGTTGCTTAGAAAGGCCCTTCCCGCTCTGAGTAAATACAGGACATATCTGTGTAGAGAGACCACAGGTACTCCGCGTTTTCTTCCAATACCAGAGCTAAGTGTTTTTTATGTTAAATCTTCAGCTCACATGATATAAGGAATGAGCATCAAGTCAAACTGGATCTACTGTTTCCAAGTGGTTAGGCAGATGTTTATTTAACAATCCACATGAGCACCCCTGATATGGGATTTTAGTTTTATTATATTCGAGCATTCCATAAGCATTTGAAACTTGTCTATTTCTGCCAGCTAATACTTGCAGGATCACGTTCAAAGATAGTGATGAATTTAACAGGAATACTTTAGTTTTCTCAGTTATGCAGTGAAAATGCTAGCGTTTGATTTGAGGAATATTTTTACCATTTTACTCCTATTTTGCTGTTACTTAGGAACAATTACTGATTTTTATCTAATAACGTCTCAGATCCTTAGACATGATTATATGGGTTTTCTCCTTCAATGCTCATATGTTCAGTATATTAACAGAATTTCTTATATTGAACTGATTTTGTATTCTTGGAATGAACTCTATTTGGGTAAATAATTATTTCTGTGAATATACTGATGAATCCTACTTGCAAATATTTTACTTAAGATTTTTCCATAATATTTAAAGCAACCATAGCCTAAGTAGTTTTGTTTTTATCTGTAAGCTTTGTCTACTTTCAACATTATGCTAGTTTAGACAAAGAATCTACACATCCTCCTTTTCTTCCTATACGCTGCTCAGTTTGACAACATTGAGAAAACCTGCTTCAAAGGTCTAGTAGAAAGCACCTGCGAGACCAACTACACTGGGGTTTTTAAAGTGATATCTCTGGGATAATGAGATATCTAAATTCCTTTTACGGTAATTAGTCTCTATTTCATGCTATCGACTGGGGCAAATTTTGATGATTTATATTTTCTTGGAAATGATTCATTCCACATATTTCACTTCTGGAACGCTAATGAGCTTGACGAACTGTCCCACCTGTCTGAGCTCATGAAAGCTGGAAATCCTTTCTGGTCTCCATACGGTTAAATTAATAAAACAAAGTCAGAAACGAATAGCTGGAAAGGTGAATATTACATAAGGGCCACTTCAGGCCAGAACATCTATTTGCTAACATTCCCTGCATAGCGGAGCAGACCTTCTACAAGAATCCAAATTCAAAGACAAATCTGAAGTACTAACTACCAAGGTGACATGTTCAGCAAGGTACTGGAACCCAATATATACCAAAGCTACATTATTTAAACAAGCAGCTTTTGGGAATGTTCTTCCATTTAAAAATCTATGTGACTTCATTCTCCCAACTAATTTTATTTAGATTTATAAATATCATATTTCACATAAAAATTTAAAAAATATATTTGAGGTCTGCTTTAAACATGCAAATAAATTTACTATATTGATAAGGCATGATAAACAAATAAAAGGCAGCCTCCATCTTACAAATAGAACAAATTTTATTTATTCATTTAACAAAGACTTGCTATATGAATGACTGTGACTTAGAATACATATCTGCATAAAAAGTAATAAATAGTGATTAGATCCCAAACCACTGACAAAAACTTAATTCAGATATTATATTATCATAATGTATATAGTATATGGTTGTAATTGTGCATATATTAGCATAATACTATATTATAATATCACACTAACTTTTACTTTTGGTCACAACATTTTTGTGAGTATATTATAATTGTAATGTAAATATATTTAATTAACATTATATTACATCATTAGAACATTGCAGAACCTTTTACTTTTGAACGTCATAACACTTTTGTAAGTAAAACTATTAAAACAGAAATCAGCCGACACTTCCGAGACTCCCCACTGACAACGTATGGCTACATGCTCACTGTGGACCCAGCATGGACAGCCGTGAGAACAGGTACTAAGTGGCCTTCTACCTGAGGCCCTCTGTGACTCTAGTGCCTGGTCTTTGAGCTTTCAAGTAGAACAAGGTGCATCTCGCCTGTGTTCAGAGGACTACTGTGACAGGTCTACACAGCATAAATGCCAAAATACTTTAGGAAGGGGGAGGGGACAGGTGTCAAGGCATCAGCGTAAGCAGGCAGCCTGCCTTGTAGCAATACCAGTGGAAGAGTTAAGTCCTTTGGTCCTGCTATTTATAAAGTTACACATATTACTTGGGGGCCACTGCCTTTGATGTCAAAGGATAGTAGCCATTTAATATCAAACTGAAAAACTTAAATAGGTGTCTCTAAATAAAATACATATACCTTTCTGAAAACCCACAAGATTAACAGTAAATAACTAACTACTTTAATCAATTATGTTATCTCCATATAATGAAATATTCTGTAAATATTTTTATAAAGATAAATTGCAACGTTAATACAAGAAGATGTCCATAACATATTAATTGAAAGACTAAAGTTTAAAAAAAGAGTTCTCACTCTCCAAAAATAACTAGAAAAATCTTCCTAAAAGTAAACCCATCTGAAATAGAGTAGAATTTTATATTAAATACTGGAGAAGAAATTACTTTAATGGGATTTTATTTGTAAATAAAATTTGAAATTATATATCTATGTGTAAAAAAATTGTGGTTACAAACGCAAATTTGGTGCTCTTTCAAGGAACTAATAAAAGATAAACATCAAGGAACTGTTCTGGGAAAAGTATGTGATCATTCACTTTGCTTTCACAGAATATTTACAAAGAATGATTCTGGAATTAAAACATAAAAACAAAACCCATCTTTAATCTCCCAAGGACAACTCACATTTCTCTGATATTCAAATCACTCCACTTTGAAGCATCAGTCATACCCATTATCCTCACTGACTTTTTCATCCTCAACCCTTTTATTCTGGTCTAATTCTGCCAGATTCTCTCATTTGTCAATAGCTCTGTAAGTCAGTCAACCCACTTTTCAATGCCACACTCATCAATTTCATGAAATTCTGCATCTTTTGCAATATTTACAATTCTACTTTATAAAAAAATATATAAATTTTATTTTTGGATGTTTCGTTAGAGAGCACTGAACCTGAAAATGACTTATGCCTAATAAAGGAGATAAATCCAGGAGGGGTTTTTTTGTTTTTGTTTTTTAAATAAGTAGTTACCGAATTGTATTGATGATTTGGCTTCCATATTAGAGAGCACTGAACCTGAAAATGACTTATGCCTAATAAAGGAGATAAATCCAGGAGGGGTTTTTTTTGTTTTTGTTTTTTAAATAAGTAGTTACCGAATTGTATTGATGATTTGGCTTCCATATATTACCCTGTAGCTGCTAGAGCTCAGAAAATGAATAGCTGGATGTTAAGAAATCACGTATAATCACCTCCCATTTCTTATTAAACTTTTGTGTTTCATGAGATTCTGCAAATGCCATTAGTAAGTTAAAAGTAACCAGAAAAATTATATATACAGAGCTATTTAAAAACAAATGAAGTCATTATTTTACAAACTACATAAATTACGTGTACAGAAAGCATTACCGGTCAGTCTAGACACTTTCAATACCTGGAGAAGATACGGATGCCAGTTGTCGTTTATGCTCTGTCGTCTGCGAAGAGAGCATTGCACAGCCTGCATAAAGAGCTTGAGTCTGCAGTGCTGTCTTCACAGTGCAGTTAAGTGGATTTGAAAGGCTAGAACCATAGGTCCATAAAACAGAAAAGAACTTGAATAACTGAAGAACATCTTCTAGATGTACCTAATTAAAAAAATAAGTGAAGTTTAATTCTTACTCAAACAAGGTGGCTCCAAATCCTCTTTTCACTAGTGTACGACTATAAAAGGCACACAATTTAATACAGTGTTTTGCTTTGTCTAATCACTTAAAATTATCCTATAACTTGGTATTGTAACCAATTGGGAAGGACAATGATGTACAGTGATACCCAGAAGCCTCACTATTGCTTTGTACTTGAAAACACTTAACCAAAAAGATGAGAACACTAAGCAGAAAACCAAGACAAGAGGGGTGTCTGGGCAGCCTCATTAAGAATGTACTTCAGGGCTGGCTGGTCAGCTCAGTTGGTTAGAGCGTGCTGTTGTAACACCAAGGTCAAGGGTTAGGATCCCTGTACCGGCCAGCCACCAAAAAAAAAAGAGAAAGTACGTCAAAGATGGAGTGAGCAATGCCAGCTGTGTCAGATAGATGCTGGGGAGAGAGCAAGTCTGACGAGGACCAGAACTGACCACTGGGCCTGGCAACACGGAGGTCAACGGTGCCCAAGATGAAATTTCCTGAGTGACTTTCCATGTGCTAAATAACCCCTCTGAACATCAGCTTTTTCATTTGTAAACCAAACAGACTGGGCTGTTGTGATTCTTAAATACAATAATGGGCCTAACACATGAGCAGGGGTGTAGCAATGTTAATCTCTAGTAGACCTACTGACTGATGTCATGATTACAGTACTGCTTTACAGGACCTGTGTTTATTATCACATGTTCCTCACTGTTTAAAAAAGTCTATTTATTTTCATTATAAACTGTCATAACTAAAATATAGTCTAAACTAAAATACATAACCTATAATATAGTCTTTAAGGGAAGAGTAAGCCTGAAAGGGATGAGCCTAGTACCTTTATAAAAAGTTTCATCAGAACCTTGAAATGAACGGTATCAACACCCCCGAGTATTAACTCAAAGACCCCAATAAGCAAGCGCAGGTAGTCTCTGCTGTCTTCTTCCAGCTGTTCAGGATTCCACCATGTATCATCTACACGGACATAGAGAGAAAGAGAAACGATGCATAAACCAATGCTGAACTTCCATTCAAGACAAACGATGACTGTGAAGTCAACAATTCAGTTTTGCAGAGTGTCACATTTAAAAGATTCACAACTTGCATCTTACCTTTAGGAAAAGATTTAGGAGCCTTCAGTGCATAAATAAAATTTTTCAAGGAAAATACAAGTAAAACTGAGTCCTCCACAGCAACCCTCTGGGCACTGTTGAGCTGTTCTATGTAATGCGCCCAGAGCTCCACTGGTATCCCTCTGTCGACCATCAGTTCAAAGTGCCATTCCAAGGGGATTTCCTGAAACGTTAAAGGAAACAACTGCTAGTACAAACTTCAAGGAGTCTGGGCATGGGTTATATGGGTGAACTGCAATGGATGTATGAGTTTCACTGGGTAATCTGCAAAATTCTATCTATATGTGCATTTTGGTGGGTACGGGATTAATAGTTTTTACCAGGTTTTCAAAGAGGTCTAACTGTCACTACTCATGAGAAAAGACACAGATATGTTAAACATGGCTTCATTTTATCTATGTTTTACCTTAAAACACTATCCCTAAGAATAAACTTTATTCATATAAATTCTTTTTATCAAATAAAGGGTAGGAATAAGTAGGCAGGTAGGCACGCTTCTAAACATAAAGGTAAGGAGTTGGATTTCCAAGAGATCTTTAAAAGGACTTCTCTCATTTCACAGCTACGTGTAATCTGAAGGAGGCGCATGATAAAATCTCCAAGCTTGCAGATGACTTTAAACAAAGCAAAACGTTAAGGAGTTTACGAATTATACTATAAACAATAAAAGACTACATGAAAAGAAGGTGTAAGTAAATGATAAATGAGGCTCTGTACACGCAAGACAGAGCAAGGATTTAGAAGGAAAATGACCCAAAACCAGACTTATAATATCTTTAGTGAGGGATCTCACTGGTTCAATGTGCTGCTATAGCCAAAAATATGCTCACGACCTCAGAAACGGTATTTAAAATAAAGCAATATAATAACCTGCTATATTCATATATATAAAAATACTCAATTTTTTAACACTGAGAACAAGTACAGTTCACACTTTACAAAAGACACAATGCTATTAGAAGTTGAGAAGGGCCCATGTGGGCTATTTGTTAAAATATGAAGATTCACTCTTGTAAAGTTTACATAATTTTAGCTAACCACGGTTGTGGTTTATAAAAGCCTGAGGGTACGTGTACATGTGGAAAAAGATGTAATTCATTCAGCAAATCCTAGAAGGAGCCCTCTAAAGTTTGGAGGACAAATAAAAACAAAATACTACTATATATGGCAGATATCAAAAGAAAAAATCTTGTTACCTCAAGATGTGGTATTAGATAAAATATAAACAGCTGATACACGTTTAGTAATACTGTCAAAGAAAATAGTAGGCTGGAGAGATCCAAATCTAATGTAATATTAAAATTAAAACATAAAAGATTTGTTTTTAGTAAACCATACAATGAAATAATACTTTGTTCAAGCACTAATACACCAAGTGAATTCCTGAAGCAGTCTTAATCAATAGATCACTTAATCACTAGAAGTATAGTTTGCATAATTATCCAATTAAGCTAACAAAGGGGAGAGCCAACCGTCAGATACAAATGGTTGTATCCATTTATATCTGCGACCTTGAAATTCTATAATCCAATTAAATTTTCTGCAAAAGCAAGAGCTAGCTAATGCACTGCCCTACTGCTACCCAAGGCTGCTCCCCACTTCATCCAGCTAGTATCCACAGACTCAACATCTCGGACTCTGATTTTTCAGTTCTGCTGTGATTAACAGGCTAGGCTGTCACCTTACTCAACATCCAACATTCTAGAGACTTTGCACTCCTTACCACTGCAGTCATAACACTTTCAAGCTTCTTTACTTTTTTCTGCAACAAACTGAAGACTCTTATTGCAAACGGAAAATGAGTTTCTTCTAAAGGTGAACAGCAAGAGACGAGCACAGACACGATCACGTGAAATGTCACTTTCTGCTTCAGGCTAAAGGACTCCTTTTCACCAACGCTTATTAAATCCTCCACCTTAAAAAATAAACATACTACATTATGGGTAGCTCTTGATTTTCATAAAACAATTCTTTTCTATCTCTGGTCTATCTAGTTATTATGTGTTTTACATTTAAAGTGAGATGACAAATAAAAAGGCCTTAAAAAGTACTAAGCACTGATGCCTAAGTAATTATAAAAACAAACAATTTCAGAAATTATAACGAACATAAATGCAACTGCCAACTGGTCAATGCATTTAAATCACACACCTAATACCTTTATTTATAAAGGTTTATTTAACCAAGACAAAAGTAATTTTCTCCTATTTTATATTTTGCTATTTTAACAAAAAGTAAGACTTCATTATTTTAAATGTGAATGAGAAGGAAAAAATACAGGTAAAAAAGACACTATTCTTACTGGTCCAATTTAGAACCGTATTGAAAATAATGATATAAAACGTTAAGGACTACAAACATTCTGCAGCATATACTAAACAACACTGTACATGTTTCAAGCAGAACAATCAAAGTACACAAGAATGAAATAACTTTTAAAATTTAAAACAGAAGAAGGAGTCAGGACAGCAGAAGCTGAGCCTCTAGTTGAGAGCATGAGGAGTCCAGGAGTGAACTGTGACCGTTCCCTACCATCTTTAACATGGAGGAAGGATCTCCTGAATTTATATTGTCGGCCAACACCTGGATCATCTTCTGGTTTGCTACACCAATTAGTTTTCCTGACTTTGTGCTTTTAATCACATTCTCAAGAGCTGTAAAAAAAAAACTGAATTCAGAGAGCCTTTATGCCACCAACACTCATGTAAGGACTTTAGGCAAAAATTTTACCATTTCTCTATGAAGGTTTGCTTTTTCTTTTGCCTTTTATCCAATTTTGAATTTCTCTGTGAGTCAGCTTCCTTTTCGTTATATAATTTTTATCTCAGCAAAAATTTTTAAAAAGTATTGCTGGCACATATAACAATTTCAAATAACAAATATAGCCAAATTTAACTGTATTCTCTTCTTTGTAAAGTGTTATCTGTTCACCTTTTTCTAAAAAATAATTGAATTTCTTACCTTCTTTCCAGCCTCTTAATAGAGGGTGCAGAGAGCAAATTCCTGATTTTGATAAATATATAGCAATTTTCATCTCAGCAGATTGCATATCATCATTACTGATGACCATAAACGGCAGCAAATGTGCAACCACCTGATTTGACAACTGATCATTTTCACTTAGTATTTCTTCTTTAATTAATATGTCTGCTGCTATCTCAAGTACCTTGTACCTAAAATATATGTAAGGACATTAGGTTGAGAGATACATTAGCGACTCCAATTCAGCAAAAATTCATCATTATACTATTCCAAACAATACCTGGTCTCCTCACCAAAACTATTATTCAGAAACACCAAGACATCACTAAAAATCCATGTCAATAAAGGAAGTATCTGTGACACTAATATTAAACTGCTAATCCTGTCTTATCATTTTTTTTTTTTTTTGGAGAAATCACTAGGTTAACTATAATATAAAACATATAACACTAGATATCTCAACTCCACTAGAGATCAGAGATTCACTCAGGCATTCAAAAAAATTAATTGAACAAATCCTCTGTGACAGATAATCTATCCATATGACAGATACAAAAACATGTAGGACATGCTCTCATCCTGAGGAGCTTAGCTACTTTTTTTGCAAAAAGTTTAGGTACCAAAAATGAAATAACCAGAGCTCATCAAATATTCTCCACAAAAGTTATCATGTGCCTCTAAATTTATTTTTTTAATATATTTGTACTTGTTTTTAATTATATAAAGTAGAAAATTAAAAATCCTTTCCATCCTACTTTGCAGAATTCAATATTGTATCATATACTACATATTTCTTTTCGCATTTTTTTTTTTTTTTTTTTTTTTTTTTTCCATGTCCGGCAACGGATCGCAACCCTCAGTGTTGCCCCCGTACCGGACCGGGGAAAGGCAAAGGGATTGCAAAAATCGGTGTTGCTAACGCGCACCGCTCAGCCCGTGAAAGGGAACCGCACAG